TTTAAATTAATAAACCCCCCAAAACATTTAAATTCTCTCTCAATACTACAAAAGCATACATATTTTCTGTGAAATACAATGTTAATTTTTTTTTTTCTGTTAATTTTTACGTTTTAGAGAATTGTTTGTTTTTGGTGAAGGTTTTGAAGGTTTTTACCTGTTTTTCAACATTAAAGGAGTGGAAGTTGTAGTCATAGGTGAGCTCAGTGCCCGCTGGCATATCCTTGAGTGCGTAGAGCCCGATCCGGTACACGCCGTTCACAGACCTGGGGGAAAAAAAAAAAAAAAGAGTCAAAAATCCCAAAATTAAACAGAAAATTGGGTTTGTCCAGGAATGGTGGTGATAAAATAAAACCATAAATAGGCTTTGCTGTTCACAGAGCCGGGGGGAAAAAGTTACAGGTATCAGAACCCCCATAACCCATTTCTCTCTTACAAGGACCAGAACACCCCAGAACCCCATTTCTCTCTCAGGGTACAGGGACAGAACCGCCTTGACCCCATTTCTCTCAAGGTACAAGGATCAGAACCCCATAACCCATTTCTCCTCTCTCTCTTTTTGGGTACAAAGATCAGAACCCCCATAACCCCATTTCTCTCTCACATTACAGGCACCAGAACACCCATAACCCCATTTCTCCCTCTCTCCTTCAGGATACAGGTAACAGAACACCCCATAACCCCATTTTTCGCCCTCCCAATACCCCTCTCCTCACCATTTCTGCATCTCGCAGTTGGGGTTGCAGCTGTGGTTGATGAAGCAGATAACCCCATAACCCCATTTCCCTCTCACATTCCAGGTACCAGAACCCCATAACCCCAATTTTCTCCCTCCCAACACCCCTCCCCATGATCAGAACCCCTGTCCTCACCATTTCTGCATCTCGCAGTTGGGGTTGCAGCTGTGGTTGATAAAGCAGATAACCCCATAACCACATTTCCCTCTGACATTACAGGGCTCAGAACACCCCATAACCCCATTTCTCTCTCACATTCCAGGTACCAGAACCCCATAGCCCCATTTCTCTCTCTCTCTCCCTCTCTCAGATTACAGAGCACCCCCAGGATCACAACCCCCATAACCCCATTTCTCTCGCATTACAGGGCTCAGAACCCCATAACCCCATTTCTCTCTCAGATTTCAATGATCAGAACCCCCATAACCCCATTTCTCAGATTACAGGGACCAGAACCCCCATAATCCCATTTCCCTCTCACATTAGAGGGCTCAGAAGCCCATAACCCCATTTTTCTCCCTCCCAACACCCCTCCCCATGCTCACAGCCCTCTCCTCACCATTTCTGCATCTCGCAGTTGGGGTTGCAGCTGTGGTTGATGAAACGGATAACCCCATAACCCCATTTCTCTCTCACATTACAGGTACCAGAACACCCCATAACCCCATTTTTCTCCCTCCCAACACCTCTCTCACCATTTCTGCATCTCGCAGTTGGGGTTGCAGCTGTGGTTGATGAACCGTGCCTCGTTGCCCATGCGGTAGCTGTCGATGACCATTCCGCTGTCCAGGTTCAGGCAGTAATGGTC